ATTATTAATATATAATTTCTATAATTTTTTAATATACAAATTACAAGATAAAATGGATTAAAGAAGTGCATTGGATGGTGTGTAAAAATGAAAGTGGACAAATACTCTGGGACGGAGGTAGTAATTAACTTTTAATAATAATAATAGATTAAAAAATAGAAGAAAAATAAAACAATTAGAAATAAATAATAATTAATACAAAGTAATACTAATAAGTAATGTTATTTTTATAAAAGAGTGAAGTAGTAAAATTACTAATTAATTGTTTTTAATAAATAATAGTATTAATAATAAGTGTTTTTTATAAAAAGTGCTTTTTTTCCAACTAAAAATTAATAGTAATAATAATAATAATAATAATAATAATAATAATAGAAGAAGAAAAGAAATAATAGAGGAAGAAAAAAAGGGGGAAAGAAGAAGAAAAAGGTAACGGTGAGAGAAACTAAGGGAGACATGGACGGATTGTCACCCCTCAGTAATTTTTTTAGATAATTTAAGGTACCCCAGAGTATATTTAGAAAAATAATGGGACCTAGCAGTTCTTATCAAGAAATAGAGGGTACCCGCCAGCAATTTTTTGGAAAAAATATTGGGAAAGACTGTTTCACTCTTCAAGCAATGTGGGCATTCATTCACATTTCACAACTCAAATGTAACTGTCTTGATAAGAAAGGAAATGGAATTCGTAGTGTTATTACACAGAAACCCCAAGAATTTCATTGTTAACTAATTAAGAAAAAATGGAGATTTAACCTTTTCCTGCTTGGCACCTTTGATGCCCAGAATTTGATTTATGCCAGAGCCACTGGCCGATGGTGCCTTATCCGGGACCTTAGCTTCAACTTCTGGAAAATTGCACCCCAAAATAAAACCCCATTACAAGAAGAATGGACCAAAAAAAAGGAGATGAACGCCATTCTTTTCCAAGAAACTCAAATCCAGAACCCAGGGTTTTTACCTTGACTGTCGGTCTCGATTGCTCTTACCAAAAGCCTCCTCCCTTTTGCAATAAAAAGTGCATTCTTTATCAAAACAAGAAATAAAAACCCATAAAAACGCAATTGAAGGAAAGAGGGAAATAAATCATAAGGATCGAGAAATACTTGGGGGAGACGGAGAGATTTGGCAAGAAAGGTGCGGGGTTCGAACTGGGTTGTATTTAATATTGGATAATGTCATTGACTGAAAGGAGTTGAGTAGAGAAGCCATTGAAGATGGCAATCTAGCTGAGCTTAGCTCCGCCTAGATAGATATTACAGCACCGGGACATTTGATAACTTATATTCCCCCAAAGTATATACCTACATATTTTATGTTAATGTGATGGTTTACATTAATAAAAATTTTTAAATTGAACTGATTCTGTGTCAGTATAAACCATTAAAATGTCATTCTACGTAGTATTTTTTTAGAGCACAACTTAAGATACATTTTTTGATGTACGCCTCCTAGGATAAGATCAACCAGGATACACAAAAAAGTACGGAGTAACAAAAAGTGTATCCCAAGTGGGATTCACCCACCGTTTTAGGGATCATATTTACACAAAATTTTAGTTCAATCAAGAAAATTTACACTAACATTTTATTTTAGTATAAACCATTACACTAGCAAAAAATATTGATGCATGTTTTCAAGGTACAATGTCAGATACAAATTATAGTGTACAAATAACTTAATTAATGTTAGATAGATGAGTAGGGAAATCTCCTACCACACTCGCTAAACATGGCTTGCTATAGTCATTTTTAAATATATGAATAATAGTATAAGAACTCATTTTGCATTGTCATCTCTAATCTTCACTTATAATATTATATAGTACACTATTTGCAATAATTTTTATATTTTACTATTTAATTTTATAAATATTAAGTAATACTCTGTAGGTTGCAATTTAAGAATAATAATTAAAAATGAAAAACTATTTTTATTTTAAATAAATAAAATGTTTTTTTTAAAAAAAATATTTTTGTAAAAGAATAAAATGATATTTTATTTTTCTTCTTGAGTTGTGGTACTAAACATGAGGGAACAAATATGCTCTGGCCCATGAAAAAATAACTCAATCAACATTTTTCTTCTTCTTTTTGGCTTGATATGTTTTACCAAACTTGTTATTAATAGCAAGCCATTTTAATTTCTTAGCAAAGGTCAATTAGTTTTTTTACAACTAATTGACCTTTGGATTCGTTTTTTAATGGGTTGTTCTCTTTTTAATGTGCACTTACTCTTTGTTTGACTTATTTTATTTTATTTTATTAATTAATTTGTTTTATTTTATTGATCATTTTAGTTAAACAAAAAATCGTACCATGCGTCTTCTTTTTTGTTTGTTTTATTTGATATTTTTTGTTTGTTAACTTTTTTTGTCTGTTTTCAAATAAAACAAACAAAAACATTAAATGCATGGTATGCTATTTTTGTTTAACTAAAATGTTCAATAAAATAAAACTCATCAATTAATAAAATAAAATAAGTCACGCTAGCAAGTAAAACAAATTAATTTGGATTCGTTCTTTTTGTGGGTTGTTCTCTTTTTATGTTTCGCTTATTTTGAAATGTTTCTGCACCATTTTAGATTACTCCAATGGATTTATAAATATTATTTTTGAATTAAATTTTTTTAAATTATTTTGAAACTTATTTTGTTTAGATGCTAATATAGTGGCAACCCGATCCAGTAATCCATGTATTCGGGCTATGCGAGTTAGAATATTATAGAAGACCACTTACAAAAGGTGTACAACAATACAATACAACCAAAATGAAGTAGAAAAAGCAGAAAATACACTATAAAGTGCATGGACCTATGTGCGAATAACTTTTGTAGTCTTGGGGTGAAAATTTCTCTCCCAACTCTATAAATTAAGTCATGGAATTGTAGAGGATACGTGAGAAGATGATTAAAAGCACAAATCAACCTCGCATTGTTATCGTTTTAAACCATTACCATCCGTCCTACCACCCTCGTCGCTATGGACGCCTGCCTCAATGAAAATAGAAATACCTTAAAATACTACTTCCTCCATTTCTAAAAGATTGTCACAATTTGACTTTTTGGCCAAACTTTGGCACCATTTGATCGTGAATTGTGGAAAAAAATATATTTTGTTATAATTCAAATTTAGTAAAATTGGATTTATATTAAAATATAATTTTGAAATATCAATTTTTTATGGTATTTAATTATTTTAAACTATATTTAATTCTTGGTCAAAGAGTACAGTGACAATCTTTTAGGGACGAAGAGAGTACTATATATATATATATATATATATATAGATATATATATATAGACACACACACTAGCATGGCACACACGTGTGTGTGTGCCCAAATTCTTTGTATAATGTGCTATGATTTTGTAATATTACATAGCGTAGTACTTTACGAGAAGTTTATACATTGTTTTACAAAAATTGAAGTGATCAAAAGTATTTAATCATGTTCAAAAGTATTTGCAAAGCTAGTTAGTAGTTTTAAACAGGGGTTTAGATTCATTTAATGGGTTTCTTTTTTCTTTGGTTTTGCTCTTTGTGATTGAAAGTTTCAATCTTTACTTTTACCTGTGAATTTATGTTCTAACACTGAAACTCCACCCTTTAATAATAGAACATAACATCAAGTATTCATAGAAAAGTCTGAATTTATAGTGTAAACATAGTGTAAACAATTTACCTCAGAATTGACTTCAAAAGAATTGAGAATCATATGCCTATATAAATACACAACTTAGAAAAGTCAAAGGAATTTATAATCATCAAAAGTACAGAAGTGTAGACTTCTATATGTCTAACACAGAAATCAGAATGGATACATAAGCAATAGAATCAAAGCAAGCACCACACTTCATGACTCCACAAACCAATCGTGTCCACATAGACCCAACTCCCCTACACGCATCTGTGTAACTGAATCAAAACCCTCCAAACCTTCACCTGGCAGACCATTACATACATAACAAGAATCGATCGAGCACCATGACAAAAATGTGTGACCTCTGGTAATTAACTTTAAAGAGAGCACTTGCCAAATTTTAATATGAGAACGTGACACGTGAGGTCACGAATAGAACAACACTTGGTTAAGACTCGAGAAAAAGGTCGTCCAAATGAACCCAATTAATAGTACGCAATGTGCATGCAGCAAAGAAAGTCCAATAGAACACAAGTACTTATCACAAGAAATGAAACCATTTGAATGTGTAGAAAATTTGCCAACAGAGTGCATTCAAAATCTGGACATGAAAGCAAGCGTAAGAAATGCACACGCCGGCTATGTTGCATTTTAAGAAATTGAGCCATACATTATAAAGCACTTCTTCACAACTAAGACAAGCTCAACTTATATGAAAAGACATTGTTTTAATGACGCTTTTTTATGTGAAAGAATTGAAACAGGTCATTTTTTGGCCAAATACAATTACATGAGGACTTGAGAACAAACTCAGATGATATATACGTGCAGAATGAGTGTGAACTTGACACAACCATCAAATATTCATGAGGTCAACCAAAAAAAAATATAGATTAAAAGTATGGAATAAATGTCAAATTAATCACTTGTGTGGCTTACATTGCAACTCATATGAAACTGTACAGATGACCAAGAAGAAATTCATAGAGGGATTAGAGTAAGAAAGCATAGGTTCAAATATCATGCTTATGGCACAAGTTCTACACTACTTTCATTTAGACACCCATACTACTTTGGCAAAGATTATGAGCACAGTTTAAAAAATACTTATTTTTAGCACAATTTCTAGAATAACATGGTATCATTTTGGGAATATGTGATAAATGGAATGAGGGGCCTAGGCTAAGTCTACATCCTATGTAATCATATGGAGTAAGAATCTGTAGAGGAATTAGAGTAAGAAAGCATACGTTTAAATAATAGCTGCATACCTTATTTAGACACTTGACTAATCTTATACAGAGGAAAAATTCATCAAGAAATCAGTTTATTACCCAAAAAAAGTGCAAAATAGAGTTTTTAAAATTGAAATGTAGAAGGAATAAAGATCCTATGTGCATGCAGTACTAAGATGGGGCAAATTATAATTTGTGGAGATTTCAATAAATCAATCACCCCTCTTTTACTAATTCTCTCTTAAATTAGAATTAGTGTACAAAAAATTGGCCGAAATTCGAATAGGGCTGAATCATAAAATCTAGGATGAATTTTAACTGGATTTCCAATTTGTCAAACCGAAAAAGCCGCGAATTTGAGGTATCAAAAATTGGAATTAAAGAATCGAAGAAGGACCTGCGGAGTCTTCGGGAGTAAGAAGTAAGGAGAACCTGCAAAATACCTGCGAATTGAAGAGGAAAAGCGTCTCGGATGAGCAAAGTGAAGGAGAAAAATGATTTTGGCGAGATGGGAAGCGGCTGAGATAGTGGGGCGGTGAGCGGCAAGAATGGCCAATAACAATCATCCACGTAATAATTAGAAAAAGTAAGAGACGGAGACTAAGCGGGAGTTAACGGAAATCAGTCGAAGGTAACACACTTACGCTCAGACGGGGAAATGGGCAATTTGACGGAACAGTTACGGAAAAAGGACCAACTTCACGGAGGGAAACGTTGTTGGGCCTTATAATATAAGGGGGGATATATATATATATATATATATATATATATATATATATATATATATATATATATATATATAAAGAAATTTAAATAGAAATAGTGACCCCTCTTCCTGAATAAGTGAATCCAATCCCTTCTTTTTCTTCTCTTTCTTCGATTGGGTACCGATCCCTCTCTAAAACGATGACGGATAGATCAATGGGCTTCCACCAGTGAACAGACAACCTTCTAAATTTGGACAAGATTTTTCTGTTGTTGTTGGGCCTGTTTGGGAATAGCGTTAGTTTTTTGGATAAAATTTTAACGGTGCAGATTACTTTGAAAACGCTAACACTGAACGCTGTCCGTAGATAGTCTTTTCAAAACGCTAACGCTAATCGCTAAAGCTATTACCAAACAGGCACGTTGTATATAGGAAGATGCTACAATATCCTCCAAAAATGTTAAATTTTAACATATCACCTTGGAGATCTCTTAGTAGCTATTGGCCTTATAAATGCACACCTCAAACGTCTTTTTCTCTCTCCGTATATCTAAATTTATAGGGTATCATATTTCTGCTATTCAATAGGGTTTATACATGGTATATGCTCCTGCTTCTATAAATAAATAAGTAAACAAAGGTGGAATTCTGTAAATATATGCTCCGTAGTCCGTATATAACATACTCCGTATATCGATAGATTCAGGCACATATATAGGCAGGCATAGTTTATACAAGGAGTACGTTAGTCTGTTCCTGCTATTGAGTTCTG